TGATCCCGGATGGGCCGCCTGTCCCGGACGACGTTCCGAGGCTTCTGGGGGGTTCGTACCAGCACGCACTGGCGGTGCCAGGCTGATCCCGGGGGGTTACTTGCATCCGCGGGGGGGTTCGTGCTTCCTGGAGGGGTTCGTACCGGCCCGCACCGGCGGTGCCGCCACCCCGAAGCCCCTCAGGATGGGCCTTACCAGGTGGGTCGCTCCGCAACGGGAACCGCCGACATGTTCTTAATACAAATATACTTGAGCAGGCCGAAAGATTTTCCTTTTGAGGCCCACGTGACCCATGCAAAGTGTCGTGCCTCCCTCCCCCTCACTCGTCCTCCTCCTCCTCTTCCCTCCGCCCTCCTCCTCTCCCGCCTCCCTTACACTTCCCTCCTCCCTCCTCTTCCCCCATCCTCCGCTCTCCTCCTCCCCTCATCCTGACTCTTCCTTTGCCCTCCTCCTCTTTCTCGTCTCTCCTCTTCCTCTTCGTCGTCCTCCCCCTTCTCTCCGTCCTTCCTCCCTCATCTTCCTCTTCGCCGGCCCTTGATGTGTGTGTTCCCTACTCGCCCCCGTGTGTTGTGTCTCCCGGTAGGGAAACCCTTCCCCCGTAGAATCATAGCTTGGGCTGCAGGTCCAAGGCTCCGTGGATCCATTCCCCCTTGGGCCCCTTGTATGAATGATTACTAGATATAAATTTACTCCAGCCAAGAAATTGGATCCACGAAACTTCCACGCCAAAACATTGGATCCACAGGACACGGAAATTGGACCCAAGTGACTCTCGCACACACGTAGCTGGATCCAAATGAATCCATGCGTTCCCATGCAAGAGGAAAAAACTTTCGGCCTGGGGATGAAGAGTTTTGCGCCCCTTCTGCCCTTCAGCACAGGGGTGGTGGTGGCACAGTACACGTAGCATGCCCGCCATGGCGGGGGAGGCGGGGGTCAAAACCACACTGAAGAGTTTTTCACCCCTCCTGCCCTTCCGCACAGTGGCGGTGGTGGCACAGTAAACGTAACATGCCCGTGTTGGCAAGGGAGACGGGGGTCAAAACCCCACTTGGGCAGGCCGATAGATTTTCCTCTTGAGGCCCACATGACACATGCGAAGTGTCGTGCCTCCCTCCCCCTCCCTCGTCCTCCTCCTCTTCCCTCCGCCCTCTTCCTCTCCCGCCTCCCTTACACTTCCCTCCTCCCTCCTCTTCCTCCCTCCTCCGCTCTCCTCCTCCCTCATCCTGACTCTTCCTTTGCCCTCCTCCTCTTCCTCGTCTCTCCTCTTCTTCCTCGTCGTCCTCTCCCTCCTCTCCGTCCTTCATCCCTTATCTTCCTCTTCGCCCGCCCCTGGCTTGTGTTTCCCAACTCGCCCCCGTGTGTTGTGTCTCCCGACAGGGAAAACCCCTCCCCCGTATAATCATAGCTTGGGCTGCAGGTCCAGGGCTCCGTGGATCCATTCCCCCTTGGGTCCCTTGTAAGAGTTATTATTATAAATTTACCCCAGCAAAAGAATTGGATCGACGAAACTTCCACGCCAAAAACTGGATCCACAGGACACGGAAATTTGATCCACGTGACTCTCGCACACACGTAACTGGATCCAAATGGATCCATGCGTTCCCATGCAAGAGGAAACAACTTTCGGTCTGGGCATGTGTGTATAAATATGTGTATATATATATATATATATATATATATATATATATATATATATTCAATCCATCGCGCGCGCTCTGCGCGCGCTTGGGTTCTGGCTGGTCGAGTGCTGACCGCATTGAGACAACAAGGTGGTCATGAATAATGAAATCAACATTCTCTGTTTCCTCCTGCCTCGTCCTTATCCTCCTCCGCTCTCATCGACCAGTCGACCCGTGATCTGTCGCCAAGCTATGGGCCAGAGTCAGAAAACAAATGCAGCACTATATGGGATTCCATGGTACACCATGCTATGCTATTCGCCGGCCCAACGGGCCAGGGCGTGCTAAGATCTCCGGTAACTGGTTAACAGTATTAACAGTATTTCTAGTTCGCGCGCGCGGGGCGGCCCCTGGGGGTCCCCCGGCGAAAAGTACTCCGACCAACGCCCGACCGCCGCCCGACCGCCGCCCGACCGCCGCCCGACCACCGCCCGACCAAGTCTACTCAGAGATGGTTTTCCTTCTGGGTGCGGCCCCTCAGGCTCCCCAGAGCGCGCTCAGAGTGCCCCAAGAGGCCCCCAAGACTGCCCAAGAGGCCCCCGAGACGCCCAAAGAGCGCTCGAAGACGCCGAAGATGACCCCAAGACGGCCCAAAAGGCCCCCAAGACAGCCCAAGAGGCCTCCAAGACGCCCCAAGAGCCTTCCAAGAGGCCTCCGAAGAGAGCCCCAAGAGGCCAAAATCGTTGATTTTCATTGGTTTTTTCTATGTTTTTTGTGTTCTGGCTTTTTCGGCTTCCGGACGCTCCAAGACGGCCCAAGAGGCCCCCAAGACCGCTCCAAGACGGCCCACGAGGCTCCCAAGACGGCCCCGGAACGGCCCAGGAGGGCCCCCAAGACGGCCCAAGTGCCGCCCAAGACGGACCAAGAGGCCCCAAGACGGGCCCAAGAGGGGCTCAAGAGGGGAACCGAGAACTGAAAAATCTAGCCCTCCGCCCCAGAAGGCGCCCAGGAGGCCCCAAAAAGGCCCCAAGGCCCCAAGAGGCCCCCAAGAGGCCCCCAAGACGCCCCAAGAGGCGCCCAAGAGGCCCAAAAGAGGCCCCAAGAGGCCCCAAAACGGCCCCCCAAACTCGGCTAGCCCACAACGGTGCGACAATATGGGCCGGCGGAATGAGCGAAGCGATTAAATAAAGCGCAATGTCACAATGCAATATGAAATTCGATCACAAGGTATACTCTACAGTACGCATTGCATGCCATGCCATGCTGTGCTGTGAAATGCTATGATAATATATGCGATGACGCGCTGAGCCATATCATGCTATGTTTCCCATGAAGAGCGATGCTACCGCGCTACATGGTATGCACGGACACGGCATGCCGGGCTACGCAATGCAATGCGATGCCATGTTATGAACTGCTAGGCTGGAATGAGCAGGACGACGGTAAGAACAACAACGGGGGTGTGATATGTGCATGAATTATGTTCACTGTTGCGCAGAGCAGTACGGTGCTGTTCGATTAATGCATGTGCATTGGAATGCCATAATACGCCACGATGTGTTATGATATGCAATGCCATGCTAGGCAACGTTACGTCATGACGTGCAGTGCTAGGCTCAGCTAGACACTGTTACGGGATGCAACGCTATGGCATGGTGAACCATACTGTGATATGCACTGACACGGTTAGCTCTGTCGCGCTATGCCATGTCATGTGATGTCATGCAACGCTGCGATGGCACGATAAGCCAGGCGGTTCTTTGCTTTGCACCGGTATGTTTGGGAGGCCTCTTGGATGCCATTTGAGGTGCTCTTGGGGCCTCTTTTTGGGCCTCTTTGGGGCCTCTTTGGGGCCTCTGGGGGGCCTCTTGGGCTCTGTTGGGGGCCTCTTATCTTGGGGCCTCCTGGAGACCTCTTGGGGCGGAAGGCTCGAATAGTCGGTTCGTGTCCCCCCTCTTGGGCTGCTGTTGGGGCCATCTTGGGGCCATCTTGGGCGATCTTGGGCGCCTCTTGGGCCGTCTTCGGGTACTCTTGGGCCGTCTTGGGACACTCTTGAGCCGTCGTGGTGCCCTCTTTGGATGCCTCTTAGACCGTGTTGAGCTGATTCCTGGGGCCTCGTGAGCTGTCTTGGACCGTCGGAAGCGCGAACCAGCGAGAACACGAAAACCCTTCAAAAATCCTGGACAACACCTACTTTGTTCGCCTCCTAAGTGCCTCGTGGGAATCCTTTTGAAGGCATCTTGGCTGTCTTGAAACCTTCTTGGGCTGTCTTCAAGCCATGCTGGACAAATTTTGCAAAGCGCTCTTGTGCGCACTTGGAATATCTTGGGGCGCTTTTGGGCCATCTTGCAGCCCTCTTGCACGTCTGTCGGCTCCCTCTGACGGTTTTGGCACCTCCCGCCGGGCCCGAAACTGCCGGAAGACAAATCAGTACACTTTGGGGGCCCAGCCCCCCCTACCCTATATATATATATGTATATATATATATATATATATATATATATATGTGTGTGTAGAGATGTGTTGCATGCATGCGTGCATACATACATGCATGTATGCATGCCGATGTGTGCGACAATGTATGCATATGCATATGCATGTGTGCATGTTTGCAGGTGTCTATGCATATGTATATACACATACATAGACACCTACATAACATAGGCATATAAATTTACATATACACATGCAACCATCTACACATGCGTATGCAATTTCATGTACATGTACAAGCGCGTGCAAACTTATATCTAATTCCCATAATCATATAGATGTGTGTATATGCACGCGTTCGTGTTGGTCGATCGTTACGCCCCGATCCAGCAAGTCGTACACGCCGTCTGCATGGATAACTAAATTTGTTTAAAGCACGGGTGAATGTGCAAATCGGACTTAGCAAGAAGTATCAGCGGCCATATGGAAAAACTGTGTGGTTAGATGCATCAAAACCGACGGTGCCTACAACCAGTTCCCTATGCGCGTATGTACACACTAACTCTCTGCAGTGCGATCAGACGCGTGTGGCAAAACACATGTGTACGCATCCTTGCGCACATATGCATCAAAACGTCTGTGTCGGAAGGGAGCAAGAGAAAGAGAGAGCGAGAGAGGGTGAGAGACATGAAAACATATACCTCTGTCCATGGAAACATTCAGATAGAGAAAAACAGGGGGACAAGAAGAGAGGGAGATAAACAGGGCGAGATGGGGGAGAGAGACAGAGAGAATAATAATAATGATAATAGTAATAATACTGAAGACTGAAAGAGAGGCAAAGAGAGATAGAGAAGAAACAAGAGGAAAATGGCGACGGCGAGAAGAGAGATAGAGAGTCAGATAGAAAGATAACTATACAAAAATATAGAATTCGAGCCCCGCCTGGCAAAATCGGGTCGAATGAACCGTGGCTGCAGACGGAATGCCTGCGGGTCGCCAATAGAAGGGCGGGGGGACGCGCATCCCGTCTCCTCCTCCGCTCTCCCTCCTTCTCCTCCTCCTTCTCCGCTCCTCCTGCTCTCCTTCTCCGCTCTCCCTCCTTCTCCTCCTTCTTTTCCTCCTCCTTCTCCTCCTTTTCCTCCTCCTCCTTCTCCTCCTCATCTTTGTCCTCCATCCTCCACCTTCTCCAGCTCCTGCTCCTGCTCCTCCTCCTCCTTCTCCTCCGCTCTCCTTCCATCTGCTGGCAACATGCAGTGGCGCATGGCCGGAAGGGGGCTTCAGGAAGGTCGTCTTGGGTTTCGCCACCTGTCTGGAGGGTAGGTCCCCACGGCCAGGACAAGACTGAAGCCTCCGGGCGACCCAACTCGCCTTGACGCTCTGTTGGGCGCGGGTGAGGCCCCGATAGAATTAGGTCGGGCATGTTCCCCCTACAGGTGGACTTGGGAGGAAAAATCACAAATACTCCAAAAGTGCTCAAATATAATTAATCAGATGCACAAAACATCGTCCCCGTACTGTTTGTTGGCCATTTTTGATTGTTTCTCCCGTAGAGGGACATGCCCGACTTATCGATAGAGGCCACCCGCACCAGATGGGCACCGCACCTCAGAACGACTCCGAATGATGGCCCCGCTGTCTGCCCCAAGGTCCCTCCCAGAAAGCTCTCCATACTGAACTCCATCGGAACCTCGTGAAACAGCTTTGGCGTGTCTGGGGGCCGTCCAGGGGGTCGTCGGGCCTCATTGGGTTGTCTTGAACACACCAAAGGGCCGCACTGAGAAACGCATTGGGAATAGTTGGGGCTATCGCAGAGGCTCCGTGCTTGAGGCAGGGCCTCCCCTCAAGACAAGGCCCGGGCTTGGGCTAAACAGTGCTGTTCGTTTCCGTGCTGCTCTCGTGTTCCCTCGTCCAATGTTAATTCTGCCCTTGCTGCGAAACAAAAGCAGCACGAAAACGGCCAAAGGAATCGCCCAAACACCGCGTACTTCGAGCCCTGGACAGAACTGGCTCTCAGTTTGAGGACATGTAGCTTCTCTGGCAGGGCTTGGGCGCGCAAAACACTGGGCGGACGAAAATTGGCGGGGGGAGCAACCTGCCCTTTTCGGACCCTGAAGGCCCCCCCTGATGGGCCCGAAAGGGCCCCTCTAGGGTCCCTAAACGCCCGTTTTCGGCAGCCTCCGCTGCCCTTCCACTTATGGCCGCCCCAACGGGAATTTTGAGGGTGTCCTTCCGATGTCTTACGGCTTCCCGAATGTGTCCTGAGGGTGCTATGACAATCCCCCGAGGATGTCCTGAGGCGCCCCAGTAAATCTTCAAGCCTCCCTCAGGAGTCATCACGACTTCTCCCAAAATTTGAGAATGAGCAAACCAAGGCCAAAGACCCAAAGGCTCGGGCCGCATCCCGGGACCGACTGTCCCGGCATTCCTATAAGCCTACCACGACATGTGTTTAGACCCCAAAAAATGCTCCAAAAACAAAAACGATGCGCTCATAACCGAAGCCCGACGCGCTAAACACAAGACCATCTCAGCCAAAGCACATTCCGTGCAGACCACAAGGAGGTTCTCAAAACATTATCTGGTGGGACTACAGGCGAGCTAGGACGCTTCGCCACTGCTCCTCCTCCCCCACCTCCGGGAGGGAGGGGGAGGAGGAGGAGGAGGAGGAGGGGGAGGGAGGAGGAGGAGGAGGGAGGAGGAGGAGGAGGGGGAGGAGGGGGAGGAGGAGGAGGAGGAGGAACCCCCTCCGGAAGCAGGGCGTCGGCCAGAGGGCCGTGGCCCCGAGCAGCCGGCAGCCGGGGGCGCTCGGAGAGCGGAGGGGCGGCCGACGCTCTGCCGCCGCGGCCCCGCGGGAGGGGGCCGTGCCGCGGCCCCCGGGGGGGTGCCCATCGCCGCCGCCCTCGGGGTGCAGACGAGGGCGCCCCCGCGGCCCGCCCGACCGCGCCCGCCCGCCACCGTCCCTTTCGCCTCCCCCCCTTTTCTTCCCTCGTCCTCTTCGTCCTCCTCTTTCCCGCCCTCCTCCGCCTTTGACCTAGGTCAGAAGCGCATCCCTCAAGAACATGAAAGCCTCCGCCAGCCAAAGCACACAAGGTCCAAGGGCACCCTCCTCATGTTGCACGAACACATCCAACAAAAACACGAAAAACACCACCGACCTCGATCTTCTACCTCGGCCCGGCTGCATCACGAGGCCGCAACACGACGACCGCCGACCGAGCGAACAACGACGATCACGAGCGACGGACGATGACGAAGAACGACAGCGAACAACGAACAATGAACACGATGGAGCGAACAAACGAACCAACGGCGACGACGGACGAACGACGAACGCGAGCGACGACGAGGAACGACGGCAGCGCACGGCGAGGAAAGACGAGCGACGACGAGGAGCAGCGACGCCGAGCGACGAACCCCGCACACCCCTGCCCGACCCCAAGCGCTCACCCCGTGGGCGGAGCAGAAACGCCCCGGCAGCCGCGGCGACGCGGGCGGAGAGAACGGACGCGACGGGCGGACTGCGGCGAGCGGCTTGCAAATCTCGGCCCTGCGCTGCCCCGGAGAGCCGACGACGACCGACGGACGACGAGCGAGCGGCGGCGGCGGCGACGAGGGCAACAACGACCGGCGACGGCGAGCGAGCGACGACAGTGGCGACAACGGCGAGCGACGACGGCAACCACGGTGAAGGCGCCGACGACAGGCGACGACGAGCGAGCGACGACGGCGGCGGAAATGACGACGACCGACGAAAACGCGCGGCGACGGCGCTGACGATCCAGGAACAGCCACGACAGCTCGGAGGCCCGCGCGGATTTCGCAAATCGGCGCCGGAGGGAAGCCCAATGCCGATGCAGGATACCCGCACTGACCTCCAGAGGTTTGCGCTCAAGCAGCTTCTCCCGTTCTGCGAGAAGACGTCGACGAGCGACCTGCGGCGGCCTCGACGACGAAGGCAGCGACGCCCGGCGACGGCGAGCGAGCGACGACCGCGGGGACACCGACGAGCGACGATCGCGAAGACAAACAATCTGCGCGGGTCTCCAAAGAGCTGCGGTTACGTGCGCCATTATTCGTGGAAGACGAAGCTAGGACGGAGACAACATCGGGTACGACTGAATCTATAGACTCTCTGAGATCTGGCGGTTCTGGAAACTGTCTCGGGCGGCGCGGCCTTCTCATAGCGTTCCGGAACGCTCTGAGATGGACTTATCCTCGTCCCAGCCCCGTCGGAACCTTTAGGAGGCAACTACTGGGAGGTCTTCGTCGGAAAGTTTATCCTCATCCCCTAAAGCCAGGAGCGCCAAGCTCGAAGAGCATTAGATACTACATGTCACATCGAGCTGACTTGTCATACTCTGTCTGCGCAACATCTTGATGACCGGACTGGGCTGAGCAAGGGGCCTCGAAAACCTGCGAACTCGAGGCCACAAGCAGCTGAGAAAACCTCCCTGAGATAACCTCCTGTTGACAACATTGCAGGGCAGTTTTTAATACATGTTTAAAACATCTATGGGATTTGTAATACATGATTAATTTATGAATAAATTTATGCATGAACTCATCGTTGTGTGTAATGCTAAATCCCTGCGTTTTCAATGCATGATCCGCACGCGGAGCATGCACTAAAAACGGCATTGTAAAGGGAAGGAGAGCGGTGGGGACGGTGGCGGTGCACTTGAGCCGCGGAGACGGCGGCCGAGCGGGAAGAAAAAATGGGGTCAGAGAACATGTGCGCCCTCACCCCCCTAAAACCAAGAGTGCCAAGCTCGAAGATAATTAGATACGACATGCCATATCGAGATGGCGTTTCATACTCTGTCTGCGCAACAGCTTGATCACCATACCAAATCGAGGCCACAACAAACTGAGAAAACCCCCCAGACCCGTACTGTGCTCTGGACCCGCAAATTTATAAAAAACTGGGTCATCCACAGCCTGCGGCAGCCGACAGGCGTGACAGATAAAGAGCGTTGACAGAAAGTGGGAGCCAGGCTGCGCCAGCTTGTCCAAGATTCCAAAGGCACTGAGAGGCAACAGTGGCCAAATTCACCGAGCTGCCTGGGATCTTGCCAACAAGGACAAGGTGCGGACGATTCGAGAAGCAGCTGACACCGTGCCCGTGGCACAAGCGATTGGCATGGGGCAAGCTTGGCGTCCAGCACCCCACGAGCCGAACCCGCTTCCTCCATCCAGCTCCAAAAGAAAACTGTTCCAGCACAAACTCACGTGCCGGTGGAAGCGACCGGAGCCTATGCAGACCTGGCTCTTGCCAGGCCAACGACGAACGTGGATTCTCACACATCATAGGGACACGAAAACGCACGCAGGCCCGAAAGAACGGCCACGTGCTCGCCAGGGTACGGCTTCCCGCCCGAAGGCGTTTGGTTTGGGCTATTGTCGGATCGGGAATGCCATGCAAGCGCCAGAAATCTCAGAATTTTGTGAACATGACGGCTGGACAACGACGAGCAAAGGAGGGAAACCAGATACCCCTTACAAGGTCCGCCAAGATCCACCCTAAGATATGGTTTAGCACGCCACGATCAATCAAATCAAACTCAGGACCCTGTACACTCTCGAAGGCAACACCAGCCCCCCCCCGCCCCCCCCTTCACACACACACGCACTGTTTCAAGGCATGCAACACAGGGGAAGGGCAAAAGAAAAGGTCATGGAACATCTTGCCAATGGGCGATCGACTCATAACCGTGTGAAGATGCTTCTGGAGCCGTCGACGCACGTCCTGCACTGCCAGTCTGTGGCTAGCACCGCCCATTTTATGATCAGGACTCAGGCGCTCCGCCGCCCCCGCCCTCCGGCCTGCTTCAGCAGCAGGGCGCGCATGATGGGCGGTTGCGGGGCAGCGCGCTTGCCTGTCAGTATCTCCGGCAACTGGTTGGCGACATGCAGCCCGTTCTCGCGGGCAGTGACTGTCATGTTGTCGGCCTGCTTCAGAACGCGGGCGTGCTTCTCGCGCCTGCGT